ATAAAAGGCAGAAAAGTGCCACAATTTGCGTCAATAAGAAAATTCGATGTTGTATTCAGCTGGGAAATTTCTGCACGACGATACCAAAATACACTGTCAGATTGAAGTGTAAGCAACGCATATGCCACGATATTAGATTTTGAAAAACATCAGTAGCAATGACCTAAGATGTTTACTTGCTACTGTTAAGAACAGACTGGAAACTGTGCCTAACCCTTGCCCTGAAGACTTCAGAATATCTTCTTTAAAACTGAAATCGTATTTTAACAAATTCTATTTCAGTGTCATACTGTGGTCTAAACTTTTTTTATCAGTCTACACACAACCATTCAAATAAAGAACGTTTTCCTTTGTGGCAATTTATTTCATGCCTTTATTATATTCCATCTTTAGGGCTACTTACCCGTCATCAGAGGAAGCTACCACAAATCCACTTTTGGTAATTTTTTTATTTATACTACCTGCAACATTATTAGTCAATTCTGGTAAAGTTACCTGGATTAAAAAATCACATTATCATAAAATCCATGTACCAGCTGATTAGGCAGGAATCATTTTATTGACAATGATTTAAGAATGATCAAAGGAAGACACACGTTTGCTAGGTCTTTATTTTCCCATACAGCTGGTTCTTTATGTATGAAAATTGTACACAAAGTAATTTTAAAAAGGTAGGATGGCGTATCTTCACTACATTTCTCACTTCTACTCCCCTTTGGAATAAATTAAGTATAAAATAGAGCAGTGATTTGTGAGCGACGTTACTGAAACTAGTTATCGCATTTCATACACTGAATTCGATGTGATCTTGCGGGAAATAGCAACATGAAGAGAAGAAAAACAGACATTTTGGAGAAACTTTCTGCCTATTTCACAACTAGCAACATGAAGAGAAGAAAAACAGACGTTTTGGAGAAAATTTCTGCCTATTTCACAAGTAACTTTTACGCATATCGACTCGGCAAGTTACCGAAGGGCTGTCGTCAAAACCTACGTCTTGCATTTTATCAAAATATTGATCAAAATCTGGTTTATAACATAAACTTGAACTCGGTTCAAAATAGAGGTTGCTAGAGCCATAAAAAGAAAACATGGACCTTATATTCAACTTAGTCCTTAAAAATAAACTGACACGATATTTATATAACGCTTGTCTCATTATGCAAGAACTGTATTTGTTCGTTTCTGTTGCGAAAGTTGCAGCGCGGAAGACCATGTTAAAAAAAAGACGGCAGCGTTAGTGTGTATGGCCCCCATCAACGCCTGTCACATTACAAGGAGAATATTTCTAATTTTAGCCGTGCATCAAGTTTTATTTTGAAGTCGTTGGCAATCCACTTGGTTAACGTCGAAACGGTGGAGAACAGTACAAACTGCAGCCAGCATCTACTTTTACTTCGAAACTAGACCGACAGTAAATGTTCACGAACACCCTATAGTTACCACCGCACAAGGACGAATCCACAGTAGATGAGGAGGAAACATTTTCGTTGTTCACTAAAGTTTCTTTGTGGGAACTTACCTGTTACGTTCAAAGTTCTTCACGAGACGTACACACTACTAGAACACTGTATTAAGCAGACAACGGCAAAACACACGTACACCAAGCAACCAACTCGTGTACACTAACTGACACGCCACGCCTCACCAACCCGCCCGACTCCTCGTAGCTCGCCCGCCAACCCTATCGGTAACCGCCAGACCAATAGGCCGCTCAAACTCAGCCTAGAGCGAGTCTGTCTGTCACAAAAGGAAGGGGACTACAATGGCGCCATCTACGATTGAAGTTGAACAGATTTCTTGTTTCATGCGATTTGGAACACTGGAGACAAAAAAGAGTTTATGTTTAACTTATTATTATTATTATTATTATTATTATTGTTATTATTATATTGTTAGTGCTCGGCTGTTATTGGCCTTTTTGGCTGTTGCCAAGCACTCAAATAAATGAATTGAATTGAATTGAATTGAATTATTTAGTGTTCTGTCTGACGACAGGTCCATATGAACAGGATCCTTCCATCCTTTTCTCGGACTGGGGGCTGTTCATATACGTTCTTGGCAGATGATCCAGAAGTGGTTTGCTATTGCCTTCTTCTGTGTGTGAATGGAGTAATTGTTGGGAGCCCCCGGAGGAAAACTCCGTGTTGCCTAGACCACGGCCTTGCCCAACACAAGTTATAAATCTGAGCACCACCGGGAATTGAACCCGAGACTTGCTAACCCAGTTTATTAACAACTAAAACGAGTTAAAAAGAAAAGTTGAAAGAAAAAGGGAGATTAATCTTTTTAAGAACCTGTGGTGTAAATCTCCACATATAAGTCAGGAAAGAACATTCTTACTTACACGATAACAGAACCATATTGTTAATTCACCGCTAATATCAAAGCTTGCCACTAAATATGATCCTCAGCTGGTTTCATCCACGTCCCACCCTCATACTTTCTTCCCAAAGGTCCTGAAGATGAACTAACTTCAAGGACCAAATTTCTACTTGAAAGCTAAAAGTCGTTCAGCTACCCAAGAAAATCAACTACAGATAACTCTCGTTATACGCGCTTTGTTTTCGCATATCCGCTGTTTTATTTCATTCAGCCAAATTTTAAAACCTTTTTTCTTGTGTCGAACTTCTTTATGCTTATCAGGGAACATGATACAGATAATAATATTGGCAGCAAAGAATCCTGACATCAGTCTACATGAAAATGGCAATTGTTATATGTTTACCGTTTAACGCGTTTTCGTTATACGCGTCGATTAGCAACAACTTAAACCCTGTATACAACGAGTCATCTGCAAACCAGAAATACTTATAATCGCTCTGTTAAAGTTCCTAGGAGCCGATTGGACAGTGCTATTCTGGATGTTATGTGAAGAGAAAGATCTCTGCATATCGGAAATCGAACCCCGGCCGCCACTTTACTATCTGAGCTGTACTTGCTTCAGACAAGCGGATATGATAACCTCTGCTAAAGGAAGGCTTTGTATCCGGAACGAGTATTTTATAAACAATTACCTTTGTGTATTATCTATTCAGAAAGTTAATATTATGATCTGACTAATGTAAGATCGTGTTATATAGTTTGGGCCCACAGAAGGAACACCGACACGGGAAAGTAAATAAATAAACGGAAACTCTGTGACCGGATCTGACACATGGCAGCACTCGGTATGTACAGACCATGCGATAATCTCATTCCTACTCCAATGAGTCCTACGAATGTGTAACAGAAACACCTACTCCGACTGTTACCAAAACGTATACCGCGATACTATGACACTTGCAGGATTACCACAGACACATTTAATTATTGGCGGATGACATTAGGGACCTCTACATACAAAGTAATTTTATTTTAAAATTATAAATCTGGAAGTGGAAAGTGAGTTGAGAATGACACAATTATTCAAAGAGTTTCGTTGATTTATGTCTGTTTCCAGTAGTCCACAGAAATGAACCGTATAATTCAATCAAATCTCCCTTCGCACAAGTATTCTGAAAACAGATTTTGACCAAACACTGAACCGACTAGCACTTCGTCCAACAGGTATCTTCAGAGCATTTTTACGAACAATGCTCTCGAAATTTCAAGAACTGTGCCCACTTAAAATTTCCTTTATCTTTCCTTTTGTTTTTCATAACACCGCCCTATTCTGTGTGTCTGCGACATTAAATTTTGACTTAGTCACTGTTTGTAGTTCAGAGGTATATGACAACTATTTTATACCCTGAAGCGGTGGTTCTCAACAGGTGCGCCGCGAGGCTTGAATTAAATGAGCACGCAAATCCTATAATTGTTAATATCACATTATCCGTAACTTAGTATGTTTTAATAATTAATCCTTCTGTTTGGGACAACTTTAAAACTGTGTACACAAAATAACGATAATTCAAAATAAGTGAACTCTCATAAATTTTGGTTTTCTATGGTATCTCACTCAGAGGGAGGAACAGAGATTGCAGGTGTTTGAGGAGGATATTTGCGCCTAGGAGAGAAGACGATGGGGCATGGAGAAAACTGCATAATGATGAGCTTAAAAATTTGTACTCGTCTCCAAATATTGTCAAGGCGATTAAGTCGAGAAGAATGAGATGGGCGGGGCATGTAGCGCGCATGGATGGGACAAGAGGTGTGCACCGGGTATTGGTTGGGAAGCCTGAGAAGAAGATACCGCTGGGGAGACCTAGACATACATGGGAGGATAATGTCAGGCAGGATCTATGGGAGATAGGAGTTCAAAGAGATTGGATTTTGGTGGCCCAGGACAGAGTCCGGTGGAGGGCTTTGGTTAATTCGGTGATGAACCTTCGGGTTCGCAAAGCCATCTAGTTAGTTAGTTATTCAGCGTCTAGACGAGTATCCCACTTGTGCCGCAAGCATCGAAAGGTTGAGAACCACTGCCCTAGAGTCCAGACGGTTAACGAACTCGTGACATAAGACACTGGGCTCTGCTTCGCGTAATTTGAATAAATGGTAAGTGAGAGTTGGACACAAGGTCGCTGCAGAAGTGCCAGGGAAAGGTAACGAGATTCCCGCAGAGACGGGGAAAATGGGAATCTTAATATTGCACAAGCGAGAGCGAGAATGCTGCTTCGGTCAATATCCCGTGGTAATCTCGAAAGTAGGGCGTGGCTTTCAAACTGTGTTCCACGACACCAGGCAACTACAGCAGCGATTAGAAAATCATGAAAAAATTCATCTTGAGATATAGGTTGGGGAGTGTGGATTGAATTCATGTAGCTCAGAACAGGGACCGGTGGCGGGCTCTTGAGAACACGGCAATGAACCTTCCGAGTTCTATAAAAGACGGGGAATATACTCACTATGCAAGCTTACTATAAGCTTCTCAAGGATCTTTTTCCATGTATGAGTTAGTCTGGTTGGCCAACAAGAAGAAGAAATACACTCAATAACACACCTAAATCTAGAGATAAATTATTCGTGCATTATTTTTGGCACTGTTTTAAATTCTCCATTAACAAAGTCAATGTACTCACTCTGCATTTTCTCCGTCGGCTGGAAATGGACAAGAACCCTCCAGGATTGGACTGGCTTCCGGCTCTTCCTGAAGTGGGCTTTCGTAAATAAGTGTCTCGACCATGGATCCTTTGGAACTCCCGAAGGAAACCCTAAGGAACATGGCTATAATCATTGACTGTTCTACATGTTTCATACTTAATATAATGACAGTTTGCCAACTGCAAGGTTATACAGCGCCGAATAACAAAATAATTGAGCACTGGAAGAAGACGGTCCCATTTGAAGTTACTCGTACTATCTCAGCATTTGAGTGTACTTTATTATGGACATGCAAGGGCATTTTGCTGTATCTTAACGGGGTAACTCGTTGCTTCTGTTCTGGCATAGTGCTGCGGGCTAAGTCGGTATGCATGTCGCAGCCTACGTACTCTCGACTGTCAGACAGATTACTGGATTCACCCGCACTAATATTCGTTTCCACGTGTCCACTCGGTGGACCAACCAATGAAGTAACACCATCATCTCCCTACACAGTACTTAGGTTTGCAGTCGCCAAAGATCGATTAAATGAAGTTGCCTTTGCTGTGAATGTATATTAAGTATGCCATAATTTTACACATTTTATGAACGTTATACATTTTTAATTATCAATAAATATATGTATTCAAAAACAAAATGTGAGCAGGGGTAGTTCAAATAAGCTGACGTAGCTCAGTTACAGACTGGACGACCAGAGTTCAATCCCCCAAAGGGGGCACAGGATTTTTCCTCTAGCCTCCGAGACCCACCCAGCCTCCTATCCGATGGGTACCGGGGTCCTTTCCCGGGGGTAAAGTATGGCGGGAGCGTGATGCTGACCACTCACCCCCATCTAGTGCCGAGGTCAAGAAAGATTAGAAGCTATAACTCCACTCCCCCCAAACGACCTACATGGTTTCACTTTTTATTAAAAAACAAACAAAATTAAAGAAACGTATTCATTTCGATGGTTCACAGACAGTGTCACGGATCTACATTATTCTGGAATGTATTCCGTCACTGCTAATATTATACTTCAGTAAATTATTAATTACGTTGTTAGACGAAACAACTGATACGGATATATGTACTTAAGGATTATGCGTCAGTTGTTTATATGCAACGAATAAGTTCATTACGTATGTAAGGTCAGATGGTAAGAGGTCGTGACTAGTATCAAGATACGTACTGTAATGATATTTTCCTAAAGAAACAAAAGAAGTACGGCCGACCTCACGTTAGAGATGCAAACCAAGTAACATCGGAATACGAAGAGAAGTTCGGCACTGGTTCGTGATGTTACGGCATTAGCAAGCCACAGGTAAGAAACAGAAACTCAGATATTGAAAGAGCATGGAAACATTGGGTTCCAAACCGATATAAAAAATTATAACACACTGCCCAGAATTCGTGGTCTTTGTGGATGCTCAGCCTCAAATTTGTAATATTATATTCAGTATTTTTAGACAAATAGAATGGTTTCACTTGTGACTAATTTGTCATTACAACAAATCGAGAGTGAAAAATATCTGGATATTTTTAAAAAAGGCTGAAAACACTTTCCTGTGATGTCAGAAGTCCTTGACCTTTACATCACGGCACAGATAAATAAGAACACACGCACCACTAAATCATGAGTTAAGAAGTAAATAAATGCAGATCGAAAACAGACACGTCATTCAATTCCCTGCATGTCTTTTATCCGACACACTTCCTTATTAAACACTTGACTTGGATACTCATCTAGATTGGCTGACGAACGAGTACATTACATACAAACACATCTCTCTGTTCCCTTCAGTTAAGAGTACGTACAATTTCTTTATTGAAGTTGTTATACTACCATACTACACGGCGCAACAACCCAGAAGACAGAAATCTTCATACTCACCGCTGTGAAAACCTCAAATCATACAATTTATTATTTTTGTATTTTCAAGGGTTAGGCACTTTGACATGTTCATATGATTAACTCGACACGTAAAGGACTCGCGGGGTTGTATCAGTCCTTTATCGCCAGAAGAGATTTATGGATATAGAGAAAAACACTTATAAACAACATTGACCCGAACAAGATTCGAAGCCGAAATCACAACATGCGCTCTTTACCAGGAACGGAATTTTTAAAAAATTTTCATCGTCATCATACCACCACAATCTATAAATTCAGGTTATAGCAGATTAGAAGAACATGTTCACGGCAGATTTCTTCATAATAAAGAAACAAACTTCCAGCCTCTATTTCTGTTCTCTCAGTTCGTATTTAAATGCGAATTTCAACTGAAATATGTATGGGACAAGAGCAAAGCCGTTTTTCCTTTTGATAAATGATATAACAAATTCCTCGTGATATATGGAGAATAGTGGATCATCATCAAGGGTAATGGTATTCAGGTTAAAGCTCTTCTTGCTTCAGAGGTTCTAGCACCTGCAGAAGGAAAACCACCTTTTCTCACGAAAACCTTCCTCCGAGACAGACACTAGCTGGAATTTAATCTTTTGTGTACGTGAAAAAAAAGTATATACGAGGGTCGCTCATTAAGTAATGCCCCACATTTTTTTCCTCAGAACACATTTATTCAAGATGGCTCAAATTTAGTGACAATATAAATCAATGTTTCCTTTACACATACTATTTTTCCACATAGTCCCCATCAACTTGTACGGTTTTACGCCAGCGTGGAACAAGGGCATGCATGCCTTGCCGGTACCAGCTCTTGTCCTGTGCACGTAGCCATGTCCTCACTGCTTGAATCACGCTCTCGTCATCTTCAAATCTTGTTCCGCGGATAGCATCTTTAAGTGGCCCAAAGAGATGAAAGTCGGAGGGTGGATGGGGCAGCACCGTCCAACCCAATTTGGTGATTTCTTCCCGGGTTCTCAGACTTGTGTGAGGGCGTGCATTGTCGTGCAGGAGCAAAATTTCTGCTGGATGCTTGTGAGGCCGAACTCGTCGAAAACGCTTCTTGAGGGTTTTCAGGGTCCTGATGTACGCGTCTGAATTGATGGTCGCACCTCTTGGCGAGCGCGGCAGATCACGGAGCTCGGTTTCTTCACTTCCTGAAGCTTTAACTCTCTTAGCCCAGCGACCAACGGTGCTCCTATCGACTGCACAGCTTCCATACACAGCACACAAACGTTTATGAATGTTCACCACAGTTTCTTTTTCAGCAACAAAGAATTCAATTACAGCTCGTTGTTTGTAACGAGAGTCGTTCACAGACGCCATTTTAACAGTTCACTACAGCTCCGCTATCGGTTGGAATCATTTGAAACTCCGTACACGAACGCGGGAAACATCAAATCTCAAGCATGTAAAAGTACACTTTTCTATCTTCATTATTGGCTGAGAAAAAAAATGTGGGGCATTACTTAATGAGCGACCCTCGTACATTTTAAAGGCAGCAGACACGGCAGTTTGTGATGTCACTAAAATACGAGGAACCCAAGCGTCTGACACAAAATGAAAGACATCGCGACTTTGATCACTTTCTCTCCCTACTTGTTATGAACTGTCTCCCTGAATTGTTTCCTCCAGTCGTTATGGTTTTGTTTTGCAAGAATCCAGCGTCGTCTGTCGCAAGGGTGGCATCACCACGCCAGAAAACAGTGTAAAGAGAATGCATTTTACTTGAGACAGTACAGCATAACATTCCACTGGTTAACTCTTGGCACTGAACTTGACTTGGCTCCAAAGTAAAACAAGAGAAGTGGGGAGGAAGCCAAGGGCATAGAATCTTTCAGTAATAAATAACTTCGGCTTTCGTCGTCGTTTGTCGGTGTTCAAAAGTTTCAGGGACGCAGGATCTTTCGCTTTGAAAGCAGAAACTGCAATGTTTCAAAAAAACCGTCGTGATACCTTTAACATAACACGCAAGCCGAAGTAAAGAACAAGAATATTACGTGAACACGATTTTTTCAACGCCTGCACATTTGAAGATGAGCAGGTTGAAGTGAGAAGGTGACCATTCACTTCCACAAAACACTTAGTCCTAGGATGCGTGGAGCTTTTCTATCACGACCCTACACGCCTTTACGGTTTGATGCCTGGGCATACATGCGACTGGACGTCATTCAAAACATACCAGTACCAGTTTCTAACACAATACTCAAGGAAACAGTAGACCGAATTCCGGCACGAATAAGCCATATTAAGATTTCCGCGAGTTTCCTCACAGCAGAACATCCAAATGGGCCATGAGCAATTCCACACCAATCATTTCCGATAAACTACACAGAGATTTCGACATCTCTGATTCAAAAGCAGATAAATTTATCTTTACGGACATTAAATTACTGAACAAAATGCAGAAGGAAAGAATACAAAGTTAAGATTACTACTGTGTAATATTGCTATGAGGGGCACTTTTCACTGTCTTTAGTTTTAAGTCGTTCTTACTTAAACAACTGAGGCCAGTCACTGGCACTAGATACTTTCCTAAAATTGTAACTTTAATTCGAAACCAGCCAAATGCCTGATCAGGGATGAAGCCAACACAAATACACACTTTGACAAGAAGATTGTTTTGAATAAATCACAAAGAAAAAAGTGGTCAATTACAATTGTAAATAAGTGACTACATAACAAAACCCGTGTGGCTTTATTAATTACGTACACACAAGCATTTTCATAATAGGCTACATCTGAAACTGAAAATGGTTTCACTTTAAGCTGCAAAAGCCTATATGATACATACTGAGAAGATAAATTTAACCAAACATAGGTCAACATATTATTTTTCGAAACCTTCACTTCATGTAAAGAATTATCTGCACAGCTTCAAAAAATGCTGCGCTTAGATTAAGGCTTAGAATATTCGAGTCAACAGGAAAAGTCGGCAAATTCTTCTCAATTCCGTTTCTAGTGTCAAAATGCATGCACCTCACAAGTTATCACTAACAGACCGAGGTCCGTATTTGCCACACTTCACAGACAAAGGATGGTACTGTTCATGTACGTATTCCTAGAATGTGCTGGGCGTTGGTAAGAAAACCTTGTGAAATAACCTATTTACAACCTAAAGGTACCAGCTGCCTATAAAAGTTGATACACGTAGAAGAATACATGACTTATTAATTGCCTTAAAAGAGATGGCTAACAACTTCCGAAGTTATTATTTTATGCGACTCT